CCCACGCCAGGGACTCTCGCCGCACCACTGAAGGAACGTCGGGTGGGCATATCTGGCAATGGAGTCCACCTTAAGTGGGCGAAAACAACGCCAATATTTCCAAATGCCACCTCATCTCTGACAGTTCAAGTTGAACATGTAACCATACTGTCAGCAATCTTTTTCACTGTGGCAGTTTACGTGTAACAAATTCTCATTTTCTATTGTTAGTATTGCTGATTTGTTAAATGCTCGAATCGTCTGCCAAAATGGCGCTAGTCCATTTAAGACTGACAGTCATCGGGTTTTACACACAATACATTTAAATAAAAAGACCAAACTCGTGTTTGTCGTGACACAAGCTGTCAACAGTCTTTTACCTTGTTGCGGTTTGCGTGTGACGAATTACCATATCTTATTTGTGACATTTCCTGTTTTTTAATTGCAAAAAATCATCTGCCAAATTAGTGCGTGTGCATTTAAGACCGACATTCATCGGATTTCATCCACAACGTAATTAAATAAAACGACCACAATCGTGTTTGAGGTAACACCAACTTGCCTGTTCGTCGCAGGGTCGAATTTCTCGCAAGACGGTATATGGGTTTTACCATCGTATCCTCCAAATACGAACAGCTGCTGACCGTTCACTGCATTATCAGCAACAGCAGAACCCCAATGGCGTGCCTGCACCATCGGCGCTGCACTGGAAACGCGACCGTCGAAAGGGTCCACTCGGTCAACTAGCCTAGACACGTCTCCGACCTCATTCCAGCCACCAATCATATAAATGCTGTCTGAGAATGAAACGAAACACCACCGTACACAACTCTACTGCAACGCTTCCACAGGATGTACACCACAGTGTCGGTGGGTGTGAACACACCATTCAACACGACAACTGTGCATCCATCACGTGATGGCACAGTGTGTCGATAATTCACGTCTACACTCGAAAGTTCTTCGATATCACTTTCAATGATGTTTTTCTCAATTTTCTTCCACTTCAATGTGCAAAACCTCACGTTACACCAATTGTACGTTAAAGCGATTAGGTAGTCCTGAATGGGTCCGCTGTAGGAAGCAAGAAATAAACGAACACCCTCTCTTTTCGAAAATACTGGTAACTGTTTAAACACAGTGCGCCAGGGCTAATCTTTTAACAAAGACAAATTTACCGACTTCTGCCTTCCTTCCAGGCATTACTGATTAGGTCCCTGTAGGGGTGAAAGAAAAAACACTGCAATGCAGCCAAGCGCAGATGACAAGTGCTTGAACGTCTACAGCAAAACCAAACCTGAATTCCCTCTGGAGGTTTATCCAGCAGTCTGACATGCAGAACTCAATGAACTCGTCCGAGGTGATCTGGCTAAGATTGATGGCACCAACGAGGTCCTTGAAGGTGGAAACACGAGTATCATCGTCTTCGTCCACGAACGCCGTCACATCCTCCTTGGTCGCAGTGTTGTTAGCTTCGAACCACATTGCAACAGTTCGCAACTTTGCGGCCTCCGCCACACCAACTAGTCGATCATCGCTCAACAAAGACAACAGATTGTCTAGTTCTGTGGTAGAATGAAACGTGGCGTCTGCGGTGATGCTGTCAAAGTGGGCAGCGATAACTGGCACGCAAATGTCAATCATAAGCGTGTTCTTGGTTGCATTCGCAACCGACCAAATTTGCTCCACATTCTCTCTGGAGACCCTACAATCGGTTGAGAAGAAGAAGGCATTTTAGTCAACTATAGGTGGGATAAACCAATAAAATGATACCTTCACTACCCTGCCTCACATGTGAAGCCCATTTCCCTTTTTCTTCCGCCGCCTATTTTTACTACCCAACCATCACGTCAAGTTTAATAAGATGGAATATGAGCAAATAATGGCTCTTGAATAAAACGATTTAGGAATAAATTGTTATTAGTATCAAAGCAAGCAACGAACCTGGTTCGAAGGAATTCAGCACACCAGGAGGTGATTGTGCGAGAACCCAAGTTACTTGCCAGCAGAAAAAGCCGCACAGCGTTGTCCATTGAGATTTCGATGCTGCCGGTGTACGCGAACACCACCACTGCCTCCACTATGCTACAACACACAAACTCTATCGAATGCAATACTGCAACTTACTCTCTGTCATATCGTCGCCACCTCAACCTGCGTCCCACACAGTTCGTCACTGCTTGCTCCAAATGCGGAAATCGCGAGGCGAGCACAACACGGTGTGCCGCCACCTCATGCCCGTCTTTGGTCTAATTTCACGCTAACACACTACCTCAGGTGCACGTACCTCTATTCTCACATCTGAGAACTTGCCAAGTCTCTGCAATCTGGCAAAGGGTGCGCATTCCATGTAACCGTTCGGCTCCTCACTGTAGATCGACATGGCTGCAAGCTCCATGTGACGCCTGGACAAAAGCACAGAAGGGTACTTTCAATGTGAATTTGAAGAGAAGACTCGTCTGCAGAAGGCACTGGCAGCCAAGTTGATGCAGTGCGCTACAATCAAAGCACTCACCCTCAAACGTGCGTGCTTGTGTGGATACGTGGCTGACGCGATTCGTCTTTCGCGCGTGTCTCGCGTGGTCTTACATTGACGAGATATGCGCCTTCACACACATGTGGGCACGCTCTCGTCAAATGCGGTTGAGGCGTCGAGGACGCACATGAGACGTGACGCTACAGCTGCCTCGGGGTTCTGCGAAGCGTGGGCCCAGCGTGGTAGTGCATGCATGTGTCTGGGGAACTGTTGCTGAAATCGACTGCTCGAATTTGCTGACATCGATATTCCCAAACAATTAGGCACTAGCTTTAAACACTTTAGCACGATTTACTTGCGCGTTTTGTAAATTTGTCGAGCAGTCTTTTGTCCGATAAAATCACATAGTTAAGTGAGAATATGGAACTGGCTTCATCTTAGAGCGACATTTAAGGGGCGTTGACAGTCTGTTTTCTTTATGTGATTTGTTATTATAGGCTTCTGGTACTTATTTGTTACTGCTTTTAGTGATGTCGAGCTGTTGCATGTTTACGGCAAGTTAACGTGTCTGCATGCCCTCCTGCCCGTCGAATGTTTAGCCAATGTATTTCAAACACACATTCCGTTTAGAATGCTTGCGTATCTGCCAACAATGCAATAATGAATAAGGCGAGAATTGCCCGCATTAGGAGACGATGTGAGGTGTTCGAGTCTCGCTAAAATCGATTTTCATGCCGAGACAACGCTTTTGGATTTAACACAGTAAGTTTGGACGAGAAGAGTTCCTTGATCATCTCTGAGCCCCAGGTACTCTTTTTTTAAAGGCACACGAAACTGCAGATGTTAATTAAAACAACAATTGTGACTGCTTGCATGCATCTACAATTAACACGGTAGCGTTTTTTCAGACTTGGCTACTACCGTCACCTCGACATACCACCAGAACTTGCATCGTCAAAGGTGAATTATCGCACTTCGGCAAGCATGTCTGTGTGTGACATGTCTGCAAATGTGGTTTGGAATGTGGACAGGCGATCAACTGTCTACTCATAGCTAGTTCGACAAGCACTGCGAGAGGTCGAATTGTTATAAAAACGCCAAATTGTAGGTAGCCCGAACTCCAACGTCCTGTTTCTGCCGTCATGTCGACTTTCGTTTTCCATGATCACACTAAACAATTTGCAAGCTAACGTGTTTGTTAATGTTTTCATTTAGGACAAAATAGGCACAAAACGTGTTCCAAAACCAACAAGTAAATAGCAAAGAAGTGTTGGAAACAATGGTATTATTGTGTGCAAATTTAAATACGACATATTTTGGCACCGCAATTCGACGTCAGTGGTAATTAACCCAAAGCCTCTTGCTACGTCTTACTGGTTTGCAGCTAGCATGATTCACTAGACGTGGATAACTGCCAAATCTTTTCGGAAAGTACATTTTGCCTAGCACAGACAACTAATTTAATTACTTCATCAGATGGATTAAAATAGAGCAGTGGAGTGTGTGCTGTGGCACTTGAGGTGGATCACAAACAGGCGCACCCAACACACCCTGCTATTGATTAATTGACTGGCACCACATTGTGTGCCGTCAACCACCAGTCGTCAGTTGGAGCTCAGATGTGGCCGTACTTGCCGCAACAGAGCGGGTGGTTTTTGCGCTCTAACTATGCATGCTACCATTATCCCAAAAGCAGCATTTTCTAATGCAGACTGGTGTTAAAATGGTGCATTGTTAGCAGAATTAAGGCGATCTGCTTAAAACTGGGCATTTAAATAACGCCAAGGCCGCCAACATCGCTTCATGACATCGTGGTTTGGATCATGCAGATTCAGCATTCCATGAACACCACAAGGAAGTGGTGCAATTTTAACTCTGCGTTGATTGTGCCACTGCGTCCATCCGGTTTTGTCAGTTGTCGATGCATACATTGTTTCTGCTGACTGCGACGAGATGGCCAGAGGCGACAGTTTCATTCCGTACTTCTTGAGAGATCCATTCGTCAATTAGTTCGGCCAATGTTTCTAATGTTTTGTCAGAGCTGTGCATCCACGTTATGCCATTCGTGTTAAGTGGAAGGCTTCGAAGCCATAATCGGCGCGGGATTGAGTCATAGAACTTGTTAACTCCACCCGGATGGCTCAGGTGCCAGAGAAGTTTGAAAGGTGACCAGTCACCTAGAGCAATGGCAGAGAGACGTGTTTGAATTTTCAGTGTTCAACTTGTCAGCATAATCCCGTGCGATAATTTTGCATGAAACTTAGACTAAATCGATGACTCACATCAATGTCAAATTGGATACCACTGCGGACCGCTAGTTGAATGGTGATTCGAGTGCTGAAGAGCACTCGGTGTGGTGCAGTCCAATTGGTCAATATTAGATAACTGTCTGGATGAAAGCTTCGTTTGCAGGTCTGATTTTTAGATTGTAAGAATTAAGTTTGCAAAATTGGAAAAGGCAGAAAATACTACATGAACGAAATCACAAGCGTGATCTGAACCCAAACTGGAATTGCTTAAAAAACCGCAAGTGCTACTTCTATTGTTCTGCTTATGCTTAGCCTGGTTAAGTTACCGTCGAAAAAGCAATAACGAATCGGCTGATAGTCGACCGCAATGACGAGCAGGATGTGTGTGATTGACGCTCGCAACAATCGATTTCTACCATGACAGGACGCTACTGGATTCAGCACGGCAAATTACCACAATACATTCCACTCAACCTTTCTGATTCTATTCTCTGTCACACACTTTGCACAGTGTTTGGTGCCAAGTGAGAAATATCCTGCTCTAATTGCATGCTTCGCATACCAAATGTGTAAATCTTCAGCGTTTTTAGAACATCTTTCTAAGTTCGGATATTGACAGGAATGCCCAAGTAAGCACATGGGTGTTTCATTAGGTTCATATCTGCTTGGGCATATATCGGTTGACATTACAATTCTGCACTAAATGTGGTCATCTTTCAAAAGACCATTATTTATGGAATTTTTCAGCCAGATTTTGAAATGTAGTCCTTAAAAGAACTGTGCAACTTTTAAAACAAGTGGATGAATTCAATCTTTTGTTTAAAAACAAAACGCTAGAAGTATATTCGACTAAATTTGTGCTTCCAAGTGTAAACCACATGGTCAGATAAAAGGTCTACTTATGTGAATGCTTGCGCACTGGCCGTTTGAGGCTATCAGCCGAGGCTGTGCAAATGCTATAATCGCTTACGCCCTTTGAGATGGTTGTCGGAAGTTGCTTATATTCACAAAACATTAGAAAACTGGTTTATGTTCCAAAATTTATTGTCCTAAACCGTAATTATTTCAGACTATCTGCTAATAGAAAATGCCAAAGTACATTCATCTGTGCCCCAGAGAGTGCATTTTATGTCAACCTCTGTGGTGCATTCTGTTTAGACGCCATACTATTTTATAAAACTGCATTCTAATGTCAAGTTAATAAGTATATACGGCAAAATGTCAACCTTGTGTATTGCTGAATGGCGAGTTAGTTGATGCCACCAGAATTATATATGTCTGTCCTGTTTATAATCACTAGTGCAACATGTCAATTTCGGACGTAGGCTGCTGAAATTGTCTAATTGCCAAATTTAAGCGTGGTACAAAACTGACACTTATACAAATCAAGAATTGTTCTTGCGCGTTGTTTCTGTTATCGTGCAACTAAACGACTCTGTTCAATCTATTTTAAGCAGACAAGGCTGATTGCTACTTGAAAAGACGACATCTAAGTTGACTGCACGCATGTTACTGGGATGTAGTTCGGTGTTTACATAAGGCGCTGATCACATTCTAGACGTGAGATTTCGGCTGTATTTTCAGCAACTTCAAACAAGCTACCAGTCATTGCACCGTAATTTTACAGACCTCATGAGAGCATAAGAAGTACTACTTAGTTCTTGACCGCATAACGTTTATTCGCAACGACACCACGAATATACCAAAGGCTGTTTTCCAGTTTCACTGTTTCGGGACCAAAATTGATTCTTCAAATGTGGATACTGTTTGCGGAATTCAAATACGACATATTTTGGCATCGTAATTAGAAGTTAGTGAGAGTTAATTGAATGCCTCCTTCTAAGACTCAGAGGATTGTAAATAACCTGACTCACTAGGATGCAGAGAACAGCCGAATATTTCCAGAATGTACGTTTCGACCAGCACAGACCAGCTAATTAAATTACTGCATCAAATGGAGAAAAAATACAGTGGAGTGTGTGCTGTGCCACTTGACGTGAGTTACAAGCAGGCACACCCAACACACCTGCTATTGATTAATTGACTGTCACCATATTGTGTGCTCTCAACCACCAGTCTCCAGTTTGAGCTCAGATGTGGCAGTTTTTGTCACTACCAAATAGGTGTCCTTTTCGCTCCAACTATGCATGTTCCCATTATCCCAAAAGCAGCATTTTCTAATGCAGACTGTTGTCGAAGTGATGGATTGTTAGCATAATTAAGGCGATCTGTAGAGACTGGGCAATTGAATAACGCTAAGGCGCCTACTTTGCTTCACGACATTGTGGTTTGGTTCATGCAGATTCAGCATTCCCTGAACACCACAAGAGTGCAGTGGAGATTTATCTGTGCGATGATTGTGACACTGCGTCCATTTGGACGTGTAAATTGTCAATGCATACATTGTTTGTGCTGACTGATACGAGATGGCCAGAGGTGACAGTTTCATTCCGTACTTCTTGAGAGATCCATTCGTTAATTAGTTCGGTCAGTGTTTCCAATGTTGTGTCGGAGCTGTGCATCGAAGTTATGCCATTAGTCTTAACCGGGAGGCATCGAGGCCATAATTGACGCTGGATTGAGTCATCGACCTTGATACCTCCAGCCAGATGGCTCATATGCCAGGGATGTTGGAAAGGTAATCAGTCACCTGGTGCAAGAGCAGAGAGACGGGTTCGATTACGCGCATCGTTCCAGCTGGTTGCTTGTACGTGAACAACATCTTTCAACTTGTAGATGTCTTCAAGTGACACTGTTTAGATGAGAAATGACATGTGAGAACTTGGAGGTCTAGCGTGCTATTTTCACGCTCAGGACGGAAAGCTTGCGAAAATGCGCTTTTCTGAACCGAAGCTTACAGCGTTACTGTCAGTCATTGGTAATGGAAAAAGGGTTGTTACAACTTCAACATAAATCACCCATCAATGAAGCCTACATTCAAGGGTTTCGTTTGACGGGGTAACAAGAAGCAGTGAAATCGTCAGCGCTGTCCTGCATTCCTGCTAGTTAACAGTCCCCACGCACCCTGAGAAGAGAAGCAATACAGATAACAGGGACGAAGACGGTATTTTGTGCATCAGACTGCCCAAATGACGTTTTGTAGCAGAGTCAGTGAGTGAATATATGCAGCACACGGAAATTTTACATTACTATCTATTGGGATCTGTCAATAAGGGGTATCGACGTGAAGTCGAAGTATTTCTAACTGAAAAAAATTGGATCACAGAGATGCGTGTGAAAAAAACACTAGACATCAGTCAGCTACATTTGTAGTGGGAAATTTCGCAGTCGTGAAGAAAGAACTTTGTAGGTTTTGCGTTTTGTGGTAAAAGCCAATTTCGTCAAGTTCAGATATCCGATGGGGTGGTACGACAAGCAAACAGAATGTTACGCATTAGTTGCACTTTATCAAACCCAACAGAGATTCAGCCTGTCTGCTATGTTTGGGAATGCAAAAATAACACTAATCTGCTATACACACGTTAAACTCAATAAAATCCAAAGGACAATGCAGCTCAAACAGAGTTAGGCATTGTCTGTTTGTGTGGTGACTCGGCTGTTACAGAGTACTCGGGGTAGTGCAGTCCAATTTGTCAACATTAGCGAACCGTCTAGCACCAAAGCGACACAGTTCGTAAATGTTCAGGTGCTGAAAGCTTCTCTTGTAGATCCGATGGCAGATTCTCAAAATTGATGTTAAATTATCAACATTTGTTTAAAATGGCTTTTGTGTTCAACTTTGTTTGTCAAGATTCAACTGAACCAAAATCTCGAATTCCGAATGAGTAGGAGGTATTCAGAAGTTAACTTACACAAGGTTTTCTAATTCTACTAAAGACGCATAAGTACCATGTCTGTTTCGACAAACGAGGGCAAAATAGTGAACACTGTTGTGGTCTGCTAGTGGCATTAAAGTACGTCAAGTCTCTGCAGCCTCTACAATTAGTGTATTTCGTTTAAGATGAAACTGTCGTGCAAGCACACTTACTCACTACCCATTCACAGATTGGCCAATTACCACCTGAGTGACCTTGATTGCATCGATATCTTGACGTCCGCACCATGTCGTCGTGGTGCTAATAGTTTTATCAGCAGCATGATGAACTGGATCCGCAAACCAATTGCCATGGGTGCCTTAAAATCAAAAATGCAGTGAGGCAGTTGAATGCACTGTCGCTTGTGACTGACGCTATTCCGGCGAAAGGCCATGCATATTTTCCTTTTGAAAAGGCTACTAGGAAATCTCAATGTGAACCACTTCCGACAGTTCAGTGGCATGAAAATTGTAATTGGTCGAGGGAGATACACTGTGAATAGTCAGTGTGTTGTGTCTGTCACTGCGTCCGCAGAGGCCTTGCATAAATGCCGCTTAGCACTGAAATCATGGGACTACCTGCGTTTACGCAAACAGACATGGATTAGCGAACCTGCACCGTGACATCCAAAGATGTGCTGAAAACCCAAGACAACCTTTCATTGAGTGACAATCAAGGGGTAGGCTTCTTTCCGGGGACAGCATGACCGCAGAAATTAAAGAATTATACCCCTGGAATTTAATTTTCAGGATTGGAGAAACGTACCATGCTAATTCCACGATCTACGTGGAATTAATTGGGGCACAACTGTACACAGGGTGTGCAAGTTCTTGGTGTGTCGACAATGTTCTGCACACCATCCCTGAGCCCACACAATATTGTTCATGTCAGTTAATCATTAACTGAAGATTACAAAATTAAAACGATCAAATTGTAGCAAAATATATTATCAGTGGCAGTTATTTAAAACATTTTGTTTTTAGACATAATTGAATATCTAATAATTAAGGCCGTTTTACGCAGTTCTCTTCATCACTCGTTCTTAATGACAGCTTTGTAGATTTAAAAAATAACACACTTTAACTCTCCACCTTAAAAACGTCAAGAACACGATTCAGGTAGAAAGTGTTGTGGGCCCCAGCATGTGGTCTTAAACCACGTCGCAGCAATCGAGTTGGTAGCGATACCGCTTATCTGCTATACACGATGATGAAGCAGAAGACCGAAAAGTCCGCTGACACAGGCGTTTACTTCAGAGTTCAACGAAGTCGGTGTCGTTGTGTCGTGCATGGCGTTTTCTCGCGTGTGAAAGTGACAGTTGACTTCACTGGCTGAGGTTATCGCAGGATTGTATGTTCTTGTGGGCTGTGTGCAACGCGTGGTCTCATTTACAGAAATGTGTTATATATCGAAGGCCGAGTGGAAGGCGTGTAATAAATGCTTTGGTAGCACTGCTATGGTGAGAATTCTGTGAATAGCCCGTGCAATTTCCTATGCTGACATGTCAAATTTACGACAGCAACCTCAGGTTAATGTGTCATACAGTGCGGAGTGGTGTTAGGAAAACCCCTGAAAGTGTGATTTGACCTACGAACGCACCCCATGACGGGTAGCCACACACCTTCTGACGTCTACACCTAATTAGGTCTCCAATTTTGCCATCTCCAGACCAGCGAATCGAGTGTCAGAGCGCGGTAGGATAGCCAGCCAGTGATTGCTGATATACAAAGTTCGTAAATCGATTATCCCATTATCGGTTGCCCAGTCGAGCAGGTATGCAGCGATAAAGCAGCCACCTTCATGTTGTCAAAATATGCATGTAATGTGTATTGATTGCTTTAAGGCTAAACACACATTGTCTAATCCTGGTTTAAGTCTTGTTTCCAGAATTCGGTAATATATCTATAGCCACTTTAAAAGCGTATATAAAAGGCTTCAGTATTACTAAACTTGTGCAAATTCCTGGTAGACATTGCTTCACCATCTAGCTTTTTTCATACCACAGTGAACAGTTTTGGCGTTCTTGCTGTGAACAATTTGACTTCAATGACACATTTTCAACTAACAAGTTGCATTTGTTTTCTGAGTAGCGGTTAACAACTGCACTTACAGGCTACATTCAAATGCCACCAATGAAGATCATAGGTGGCGTTGGCGTGCGACGCTACTTTTACCTGTGAAATGCGCTCCCCACCCAACCAGACGATAGCTTTGCATTATTCGATGAGCAGGTTAAAGGGTTATTTAGTGATGAGCTGCTGCCAACTTGCAGGAAACACTTCAGACTCTGTGAACGAGAGAGCGACCACGGTGAATTGTAAGCGCACTAGCATTTCGACTGCTGACTAATCGTGAGTAACGGCCTTGTGATTAACAAAATATATGAGAAAAAGCAATTTGCTAATTGGAAGAGATCGCTACGGTCACTATGATCCACCACCACCTCCAAACTGTCTAACGTTTTTTTCACAACACTCTTCTGACCCAACTGCCTTGTCGTTGAAAAAAAGGTTTTTTTCAGTTTAGTCTCACTTAATCACAATTATTTGTTACGAACTGCGTATTCAATTCATTGCAATCTTTATTTACTGAATTTAATACATTAGGCACTGCACTACAATGTCAATAGCAGTAAAGGATTGTTATTATCATCTCTAATTGTACGAATCCTGGCTAAACGACTGACGCTGTTTCTGCAGCACTGCAAGTTGTAGGAAGGCAACGTTTTGAATGGTGAAAATCGGCTTCCATGTAAACTTCTCCAGTGTCAGCGATTAAAGTAAAAATGGTCACATGGACATTTCATGCATATTTGGAAATGAGTTGTTAAATTTACTGTGCTTACGCGAGAATCAGATGCTGAAAAAAAATTCATGCACCTTTCCGTCACGATCTAAACAAAATGAGGAAATCTGTTGAATTTTAAGTGCATTAGGGATGTGCAGTGAGGCTACACATGCAACCAACTAATCCATTTGTTCGCCAGTACCTCTACAGATATCCCATTTCGTTAGTGCGGCGATCACGTGAAGGGCTCTTACCTGCCAAAAGAAGCCTATGCTTCAAAACAACTAGTGAATTTGTCTGAGGTGTGGCCTTTTCAAGTGTCTGAAGTCGAGTCCACTGACCGGGATCGTTGTCATCAGCAGGAAGACGAAGGCACTCAACACCGTTGTTGACATTCCAGCCATCGCCAACAACAACGACGCGACCGCGGAAGTAGGCAACACCAGGATGTGAGCGAGGTTTCCTCATTGGCGCAAGCTGGCGCCACGACCAGTTCTCGACGCCGTTGTCTTCCGTGCTGCATGAGAGCAGTTCTGCTGTGCACAATGCGCCACGGGTAAATGTGTACCCGCCAACCACGACGACGCCCACACCGGGGACGATCGCCGTACCACAGCAGGAACGTTCAGTGGGCATATCTGGCAATGGAGTCCATCTTAAATGGGAAAAAACAAAGCCATCATCAACCGAATGTAACCTCAGTCTCCTTATCAGCTCAAGCAGGGCTTGATAGACTTCTGATCTGACTGTCAATACCCTTATTCCTTTTTGCGATTTACGTGTGTCGAACTGCCATTTCTTTTGTCAATTTCTCCTGTTTTCATTCATAAACTATTCAAATAAAATGAACTCACGCGTTTTCTGCGGTAATACCAACTTGCCTGTTCGTTGCAGAGTCGAATTTCTCGCACGATGACATTTCAGTCGTACCATTTTCTCCTCCAAATACGAGGAGCTGTTGACCGCTGAAATCAGCGGCAGCAGAAAACGAGCAGCGTTCGTGCTCCATCGGCGCTGCACCGAGGACGCGACCGTCGAAGGGGTCCACGCGGTCAACCAGCCTCGACACTTCTCCTTTCTCATCCCTGCCACCGATCATGTACATGCTTTCTGAGAATGAAACGAAACACTGCCGTACGCAACTTCGATGAAACGCTTCCACAGGATCTAAACCACAGGGTGGGTGGGTGTGAACTCACCACTCAACATGACAACTGCGCATTCGGAACGTGATGGCATAGTGAGTCGAAAATTCACGTCTACCGTCGGAAGTTGTGCCCCAGAGCTTCTGCCTAAGATTTTTTTCTCAAATTCTTCCCACTCTGATGTGGCGAATGTCACCTCATTACTAGGGTCAGTGTAAGCGATTAAGTAGTCATGAGTGGGTCCTCTACAGGAAGCAGGAAAGCAACGAACACCATTGCATTCGAAAAATAGCGTTAAATGTTCAAACATAATTCGCCGGAGCGAATCATTCAGCAAAGTAAAACTTACCTCATTCTCACTTCCTTCCAGGCATTACTGATTAGATCTCTGCTTGGGTAAAAGGAAAAAAGGAACACTACAGCAAAGCGCGGTTGACAACAGCTTGAATGTCTGCAGCAAAACCACACCTGAATTCCCTCCGGAGGTTTATCCAGCAGTCTGACATGCAAAACTCGACGAAGTCATCCGAGGTGATTTTGCCAAGATCAATAGCTCCGAGAGAATTATCTAAACCGCCGACGAACTCAGTCAAATCCTCCGTGTTTGCAGTGCGATTAGCTTCGAACCACATGGCAACAGCTCGCAACTTTGCGGCCTCCGCCACACCAACTAGTCGATCATCGCTCAGCAAAGTCGACAGACTGTCTGGTTCTGTGGTAGATTGAAACTTCACGCCTGTGGTGATGGCGTCGAAGTGGGCAGCAATAAATGGCACGCAAAGGTCTATCATGCGCGTATTCTTGGTTGCATTCGCAACCGACCAAATTTGTTCTACATTCTCTCTGGAAACCCTACAGTCGGTTGAAAAGAAAAAGGCGTTTTAGTCAATTATAGGTTGGATCAACGAATAAAATGTTAGCTACGGCACCCTGGCTCTCATTTGATGCCCATGTACTTATTTCGTCGACGGCGTCCGCTGACATTTATTGGCCGCATTCACGTCAAGTATGTTAAGATGAAATATGTGCCACAAAATGCACCTTCATAAAAAGTTTTAGGAATACATTATTATTGGTATCAAAGCAAACGACGAACCTGGGTCGAAGGAATTCGGCGCACCAGGAGGTGATTGTGCGAGAACCCAGGTTACTTGCCAGCAGAAAAAGCCGCACAGCGTTGTCCATGGAGATTTCGATGCTGCCGGTGTACGCAAACCTCACTACTGCCTCCACTATGCTACAACACACACACACACACTCTATCGAATGCAATACTGCAACTTACTCTCTGTCATATCGTCGCCACCTCAACCTGCGTCCCACACAGTTCGTCACTGCTTGCTCCAAATGCGGAAATCGCGACGCCAGCACAACACGGTGTGCCGCCACCTCGTGCCCGTCTTTGGTTTAATTACACAGTGACACTCTACATCTGTTTCACTTATCTCTATTCTCACATCTGTAAACTTGCCAAGTCTCTGCAATCTGGCAAAGGGTGCGCATTCCATGTAACCATTCGGTTGCTCACTGTAGGTTGATTCGGCTGTAGGTGCAATGTTACCCTAGGACGAATGCACAGAATGGAACATTCAGTTTGAATTTGAAGAGAAGACTCGTCAGCAGAAGGCACTTGCAGCCAAGTTATTGCAGTGCGCGTTCCAATCATATCACTCACCATCGAACGTGCGTGCTTGTGTGAATACGCAGCTGACGCGATTCGTCTTTATATTGACGAGAAATGCGCCTTCACACACATGGGGCACGCTCTCTTCGAATGCGGTTAAGGCGTCGAGGATGCACACGAGTCGTGAGTGCAGCTGCTTCATGGTTCTGCCAATCGTGGACCAGCGTGAGAGTGCGCGTGTGTGTGCGTCTGGTGTATTGATGCCAAAATCGACTGCTCGAATGTGCCAAAATTAATATTCTCAAATAATTTAATATTGTTTCTAGACACTGTGGCACGAGTTTCTTGCGCGTTTCATCAATTTTAGTGACCTATCTCTAGTCCGTTAACGTCACGTTGTTGAGTGTGAACATGGAATACGTGTCATTTCCGGGCGACATTGAAGGTGTGTTGAATGTGTAAAATTGACACGATATTCTGGTGTCTGATTTCATTGTTTATTCCAGGCTTCTGGTCCTTATTGATAACTGAGTACCGTTTATTCAGACCTGACTACTGTGGTCTCCTTGAAATACCATCAGAACTTGTAATGTCAGAAGCGAATTGTCACGTTTTGGCCAACATGCCCATGTGTTACATTTCTACAAACGTGCATTGCAAAGTCGATTACCGAAGGACTGTCTAACCATAGCTAATTCGACTTGCACTTAAATAAAGTTCAATTTGTATGACAATATCTAACTCTTGGAATGGCTTGCGATATTTCACGTGTGAGTCGTAGCCCGATTTTCAACGTCATGTTACTGCCGTTGTGTCAGCATTCGTGTTTATATATTTACATTCCACATCTTGCAAGTTAACATAGCTGTCGCTGTTAATTTATCGGACAAGAAACCACACAAAATATGTTGCCAAAATCGGGTAGTAAATGGCCTAGAAGTATGGAAAATATTTTTTTATTGTATGCGGAATTCAAGTGCGGCATATTTTGGCAGCGTATTTAGACAAGAGTGGTAGTTAAGTGATTGCCACTTGCTACGCCTTATGGGTTTGTAGCTAACCTGATTCACCAGATGTAGAGAACAGCGGACTATTTTCAGAAAGCATATTTGGTCTAGCACATACAACTAATTTACTTAATACATTGGATGAATAAAAAAGAACAGCGGAGTGTGTGCTGTGCCACTTGAGGTGGATCGCAAGCAGGCACACTCAACACACCCTGCTATTGATTAATTGACTGGCACCACATTGTGTTCCCTCAAGCACCAGTCCTCAGTTGGAGCTCAGATGTGACAGCACTTCTCACAACCAAACAGGCGGTTTCTGCGCTCTAACTATGCGTGTTACCATTATCACAAAGGCAACATTATTTCATGTAGACTGGTGTTATGGTGATGCATTGTTGACATGGTTAGGGAAATCTGTGGAAACTGCGCATTTATATACACACCAAAGCGCCTAACTTTGCAGATTCAGCATTTCCTGAACGCTACAGCCGAGTCGTGGAATTTTGTTAGTGCGTTGGCTGTGCCACTGCGTCTATTCGGTCTTGTAAATTGTCAATGCATGCATCGTGTGTGCTGACTGATACGAGCTGGCCAGAGGCGACGGCATCATTTCGTGCTTCATGAAAGATTCATCCATCGAGGCCATAGTTGTCGCGGCATTGTGTCATCGACGTTGTTACCTGCAGCCAGATGGCTCACGTGACTGAGAAGTTGAAAGAGGACGCCCGTCACCTAGCGCAAAAGCGGAGTGACGTGTTCGATGACGAGCCTCGTTTGAGAGGATCATTCGTGCATGAACAACATCTTGCAACTCGTCGTAGTGACACCGTTTCAATCGAGTCAATATTATCTGTAACAACATCTGGTCGTAGCTAAGAAACGACAAGCAGCGAACTACAGCTTCAATTTGCGTTGGAGCTGTAGGACGGAAAGCTGGCATAAATTGATTTGTCTGAACGATACCGCACAGTAGTGGAGTCAGCCATCGTTAACGGAAAAGAGGGTTGTCACAAACCTGACAAAAATCACTCATCAATGGAGTCCGAAATAAAGTGGTATCGTTTGATGAGGTGACAGAAAGTTGTGAATCTGTTAGTACTGTGGCGAGCAGCAAGCCAGCAGTTAGTAATCGTGAGCAAACGCAATAATCAAGCGTGAGCGAACACGATTCAATCGCAACTACGTGCGTGCAGAGATCGATGCTTAGAGAAGCTATGTAAACACACGTGTTATCCTGTAAACACAACACACACCGCTACTGCTTTAATAAATTGGCTGAGCTACTCGTCATCTGCACCTTTTTCCATTTTTCTTTCAGCCAGGCCGTGTCAACGTAGATTGTCGGCCCTGAGTCGTGATTTAGTGTAGGTAGGCACCACACGGTAAGTTTGTATAACCTACCGTACTAAACTCAACATTCAGTTGGGATCTGTCAATAAGTAGTATCTACGTGAGGGCGAAGTATTTGTTACTGACAAAAAACCTGATCACACCGATGCGTGTGCAATTAGCCACCAGACGTCAGTCAGCCGCATACGTAATGGGAAATATCGCAATTGTGAAGGAAGCACTTTGTGGGTTCCGCGTTTTGTGGTGAAGCCAATTTCGTCGAATTCAGATATCCGATAGAGGTGTTACGACAAGCTAACGGAATGCTACACATTAGTTGTGCCTTGTCAAACGCAACAGAGATGCAGCCTGTCTGCTTGTTTGGTTGTGCAAAAACAGCACAAATTTGCTACACGCACGTTTTACTCTGTAAAAACAGCAGGGCATATTCCCTTAATGCCTCTTGGCATCACATCAAACACAGGCAGTGCAGCTCAAACAGAGTCAAGCATTGTGTGGAAATGTTTGCTAAGTGACTCAACTGCCGCAGGGTACACGGGTAGTGCAGTCCAATTTGTCACCACTAGCGAACCGTCTAGCATGAAACCGACAACGGCCGTAAAAGTTCACTTGCTGAAAGCTTCTCTAGTAGATACGGCGGTAGATTCTCCAAATTGATGTTGAAATATCAACATTTGTTTAAAATGGCTCTTTTGTTTAACTTGGTTAGTCATGGTTCAACTAAACCAAAATCTCGAATTCTAAATGAGTACGAGGAATTTGGGGGTTAACTTACACAATGTGTTCTAATTCTACTAAAGACGCATAAGTACCACGTGTGTGACGAAAGAAAACATTTCGATGATAAGAAGATCCAACTTGATGTAATAGATAATTTGAAGGTGGTCCTACGAGGCCTGCGTGAGTGCCAAGTCAATCGACTTGTAAATTCGATTTGTTTTGAAATTTAGTTTGCATCTTATGGAGTGAATTGAACGTCTAGTGACTTGAATGTCATGCAGTCTTCTTTTTAAACAAAACGCGTGTCATGTTTGCCGTTTGGCAGAAACGTGGACACTGTTTGTCCGACCAACGAAGGCAAAATGGTGAACACTGTTGTGGTCTGCTAGTGGCATTAAAGTACGTCAAGTCTCTGCGGCCTCTACAATTCGCGTATTTCGTTTGGGATGAAACTGCCGTGCAAGCACACTTACTCGTTAGTCAGTCACGGATTGGCTAATTGCCACCTGAATGACCTTGACTGCATTGACATTTCGACGTCCACACCATGTCATCGTGGTGCTAATTGTTCCACCAGCGGCATGATGAACTGGATTCGCATACATGTGATGCTGTGTTTGTTGCACATTACGGCTGTTTACAAGAACACTTGTGCATTTTTCAAGTAAGGTGTAGACAAAACAAAATCGCAATTGCCATGGGTGCCTTTTAATCGAAAATGAAGTGAGGCAGTTGAATACATTGTCGCTTGTGACTGACGCTATTCCGGCGAAAGGCCATGCATACTTTCCCTCTGAAAAGGCTGCTAGGAATTCTCAATGTGAATCACGTCTGACAGTCTAATGGCATAGAATTGTAATGGGTCGAGCGAGATAAACTGTGAATGCTCAGTGTGTTGTGGCTGTCACTGCGTCCGCAGAGGCCTTCCATAAATGCTGCTTAGCACTGAAATCAAGGGATTACCTGCGTTTACGCAAACAGACCTGAATCACTAAACCTGCAATGTGACATCCAATGTTAGATGCATAAAATGAGCTGAAAACTGAAGTGCAACGAACACAAGACGTCGTTCTTTTGAGTGACAAGCAAGATGTAGGCCTCAATCTGGGGACAGCGTGACTGTGGAAGCTAAAGTATAATGCCTCACCAAGTCAATTTAAAGGATTCGAGACAACCCTGCCACTGCTGATTCCAATGTTTGCAGTAATCCACAGAAGTAATTTCAGAGGATATTAGGACATTTCGTCAAACCACCGCTTAGTAGTCAGTTAAGGAGTTTGTCACTGTGAGATCTATTTACAATTGACACTTAATGCTTTTAAACACGACAGTATTGCCTCTAAATGGTGCATGTGATCCTCTAATTAGGAGCGTCGCATCAGGATTTTGAGACAAAATGGCTTCAGTGAATGCCCTCCCTTCACGGTGCAGTCAGTTATGTGCCGGAATGTCAAACGAAATCTTCTCCACACGGCTGTCTATCCCAGTGCTCATTGGTGGCATTTGCTAGGCCAACACGCGTAACTGGTTGGAGTATCGGGAGAAGATTTGTACCAGTCAAATTTAACCGGGTCCTGGTTCCAGGTCAAGTAATGCATCAGTTTTTGAAAGGGTGAAGCGTAACATGGTAATGCCACGCCTCAGGTGGGATTCATTAAGACACAACTGTACACTGGGTGTGCAAGTTCTTGGTGTGTCGGCACTGTTCTACAGACCATAGCTGCGCCCACACAAAATTGCACATTTCATTAATGATTAGCTCAAAATTGCAAAATTTTAACAATCGAATATTAGCAAAACTTAGAATTAGTGGCACTCAATTAACACTCATGTTGTATTTTAGGGCTAGTTGTATATTTGCGACTTAGACCTGCTAATTTGATCACCCGTTCTTAGTGACAGCTTCGTAGATTCCGCAATTAATATATCCTACTCTCTCACATAATTAGCAGTGGTTTAATTTTAATTAAACCACTAAACTAAGACAAATTATGCTAGAATACACTGAACAAGACCATCTCCGTATCGCATGTATTTTATGGGTAAAGGTTATTTGTTTTCTGCTTAAATTCAGCAGTAAATGCAGTTTCGCTGCATCATCTGGTGGTGATATTCACAACGG